TAGATTATTCTTCTACAATTACTAGTTGCTAAGATATTTGTCAAAACATGAAAAATTAATATTTTATATATATACAAATAATATTATGCTGTTTTATAATTTGATGAATATCTTGGCAATTAATAATCATAAAAAGATAGTCTAATACTCATTAGATTTATGTAATAATTCCAATAAGCTATTGTACATCTCTGTACAATTACTGGATGGCAAGTTATTTATCAAAACATAAAATGGTGTAGTATTGTAAAATGGTATAGTATTGTAAATAAAAATGCTAATTTTTAACTTTTTACTAAATATAGAATAATCTGAATTAATTTTAAATTTTTGGTTTATGGTAAATAATGTAGTGATTGTACAAAGATGCACAATAGCTTATTTAAATCATTGCATCAAAATGAATCTAATGAACTTTGGATCATTTTTCTACAATTACTAGTTATTAAAATAGCAAATTTAATTCTATAATTATCTAAATTGATCCAGATAAATCATAGATTATAAAATTTCATTCAGATCACATCTTTAACTTATCTTATAAGTAAATAGAGTCTCGTATATGTAAATTATACAAATGTTAGTTCCATTTAAAAAAAGCAAATAAAGTATATCTTGATAATAAATATTAGAAAACTAATGAAAAAGTATTATCTATTAGAAAAGATGTATATTTTATTAATAAAAAGGTATTTTTTGATAAAGAAGTATTATCTATTAATGAAGAAGCATTTATTAATAATAAGAATTCATACAAAAATTACTTAAGAAAAATATATCTCGAGTAAGGTTGCTGGAGAAACTAGAGGGTTTTGGCAAGTTGGCGAAATGCTGAAATAGCGAAACTTTGCTGAAACTATATGAAAGTCATATTAAAAAGTTAGTGAAACTCTAAAGAAAAGCGAAACCTGACGAAACTTATTATAAATGCTGAAACTGCTAAAATCTTGCCGAAATTATAATAAAACTATAGTAAAATTTTGGAGAAACTAATCGTAGAATTTTGGAAAGGTTTAGGCAGGCAACCTTAATCTCGAGTAAGAAATCTTATTTCAATTTGTAATATCTAAAAAAACCAAATAAAGGAAAGGCATTTTCATTATATTTGCAACAAAAATCCTGTAAAAAATCTGATTTGTGTTTTATCTTTCCATGTTTTTTCTGTGAATGTATCATTTTCATGGAATTTATAGCCTTAAATCATGGAAATTTTCATCTTGCTAACATGGATATCTGTGAATGTATTATTTTCACAGAATTTTTACAGAAGATATGGAGAAATAATGGAAATATTCAGATAAAAATTTTTTATAGGAAAAGCATATAGCTATCTTTCTCAAAGCTTTTATAAGTATTATTTTTCTTATTAAAAGATTCAAATTTAATAATTTACAATAATAATATAAACTAAATCTTTATTTTTAATTGAATCTACTAATAAGAATTCTTTAGCTTTTTTAGGAAAAATATTAAAATATTATTCAATTATTACATAATTAAAGATCAATATTTTTGTTTCACAAAAAAATTTGATAATAAGTTTTTATATGATACTATATTGATGCAATTTGTTAGTATTTTTAACTTCAATAATAATTCATTTTTTTTTTTTACTGTATATAATATATTTTTTACAAGTTCTGTAATAAAGTTTTATCATTTTGATTTAAAGGCCAAAATCATTTTTAATTTATTGCAATATACCATTCTTAGAGAATTACTACAAGTATTACAATCTTTTTAAAGTGCTAATACAAATTTTAAAAGATAAAAAGTACTACAACTTCTACAAGAACCTTTAAAGGAAAAGTTATTAAAACATTCATGAGTTATTATATAAATTTTAAATGTAATACATCAGGCTAATCTTGCAGAAATACTAATTGATTCTAAAGAATTGCTTTACTTTTTTATAGTAATAGAAACAGATTTGTAAAAATTTATCAAAAAAAATTATATAAACCTTTCACATATTGATTAAAAATGAATTCTAAATCAGAGTTTATTAATGTCAGGTATGTAATTTTTTCTAAATAGCTTAAATATCATGATAAAGTTCAGAAAACTTGTAGACACAAATAGCAATCATATATTAAACAGGTCATTTAAACAATCTAAAAACCACTTTTCAAATGTATAGTCATATATACAGGAGTTAAAAATAGAAGTATGTAATATTTATGAAATAGTTAGAAGATTTTTGTAATAATACATCTAGTAATTCAATTTTAATAAAATTTATATTATTAGATTCATCTTGATAAAAGGATTTTAATAATAGTAAAATCGCATTTTTAACTTCAATATTGACAAAGTTATGTCATAAAATATATATTTATTTTAGTATTTAAAGTTTATTTATGAGTTGTATTAGCATTATTCAGAGTTCTCAGTAAATTCTAATACTAATTTATTTGTGTAATTAATACATAAATTAGTTCCAATAGTCTATTTATTTAATGCTAATATTGCATTCCAATTGGAATCAGTTTTATCTTGATTTATACTATTAATTGGATATAATTAGCATTCATAAATTAAAAATACTCTAATATTTTCCAATTGGCATCCTATCAGAGTCAATAAAAAAGGCTATTGGCATTTTATTAGTTACCAATTTATTATTATTAGACCTGTAACATTTTTTTTATAACTTATTAAATTTAATTATTTTTTACTTATTAATTATAATAAAATATTTTAGGTCTCGTGATCACTAGACATTGAAGATAGGGCCTTTATAGCTAAGATGACCCATTACTAAATGAAGTTTACCTACAGAGTCAAACGATCACTTAACAGTGCACACGTAGGGTACTACCGGTATGACGAGTGGTTTGTAGTTTAATTATATTAGAGTAGTTATTAGGGAATTTTACTTTATATATATTTTCTTTATTTTTTTTACTTTAATAAAACTGCAAATGCGCTGTGAAAAAAAAAATAAAATAAAATAAAATATTTATTAGAAAAAAAAGAAAATTCTACATACTTTTATTTATTTATATTGTATTTTTATTATATTTATAATTATACAATTTATATTAAAAATTGGAAAATTTTTAATTTTTTTTTTTGGTTTTTTTTTAAAAACAAAATTTAATTATTATTTCAGATGAATTTTACCTGTAATGAATTTACAATATTACTCTAATTAATATAGTTTTAAAGTAAAATGCAAAGTAATAAATAAATATTATAATGTAAAAAGGTTTTGTTTTTTATTATACCTGTAATATATTGCACCCTGAACATTCTGGATAAAATTACATATGATTGCCAGGCAAAATTAAATATGTAACATTTAACTGAGTTGTGAAAAATAGATTTTTTACAACTGAAAAAATTTTAAGTTTCCAGAATATATATAATAAAATAAAAAGGGTGGAAGTGTGACACAGGTGACAAAAAAGGGTGCTATATATTGCATATGTAATAAATTATAAAATCCAATGTAAAATAAGCTGAAATATATCTAAGATTAAAAATAATTAAATAATTGCATTAAAAATCAACCAATCTAATATTTATTTAATTGAATTTCAATTAGAATTTTGGCTGCCAAGATTTTAAACCTTAGGATTTTATAATTATTAAAATTTTGATTTAATTAGAATTTGTATTTATTAAATTCTAGTAAAATATATTTTAAAAATTTTATTTTTACTAATGCAAAAATTAAATCCTTAAAAGATATAAATTAATAGAAAATTGGAAAATATCTTGTATGATTGTATAAAAAATATGAAATTAATTACCTTATTAAATTTCTCTTTTGCTTAAAAAAACTAAAAGGTTTAATATTAGATGCTGAAAATAAAAAGTTAAAGCAATAGTTTTTGGTTATAATCTATCTGCTAAAATGTAATCATTTAAAGTGTAAACAAGATTAATTATAATGAAATATAAAATGGAAATTTCTAACAAAAAGGATATTGTCATTATAAATCCGGAAAAAATCACGGGATGGCGGATAAATATATCCATTGCATGGGATTTGTACTCCCAGACTAACGCCACATACGGTTTTGGGCTGAAGGAAGGTTCACTTTATTTGCTCTTTCTCTTTTTCTTGAGAATACAGAAGTTTACTTGTTCAATGGGAATGGGACATCAGAGGTGCTATTTAGGGTTACAGCATTTAATGTGTTTATATTTATATATAAATCTAATAAAAGTACTTTATAAATAAATAAATAATAATAACTTTTAATTACTTTATTTATAAATATAGAAATTTGTATATATATAATTATCGTATGATTCTCGGCTTTAAAAAAATTTTTCTTATTTGTTAATTTGTTTTCTGTTTTTTAATAAACAAGTGATCGTTCGTTAAATTAAATTTGTAATTTGTTATTTCTTAAATTTAATTTGTACAAATTACTTTAAAATTTTTTACCAATAAAAAAATTTTCAATTTCTTTTTTGTTTCAAATAAATTCTAGAAATCGATATCTTAGTTTCTGATATAGAAAATTTATAAAATTTTTTCCTTAATAAAAAATTTGCCGTTCCAAATATTCTGGAATTAGATTAATGCAAGGCGCTACCGATAATCGCATATGCATAACATTTCGTGAAATCATGAGTGCATAAATAAATCTTGTTTCGTGAAATCATGCGTGCATAAAATAAATCTTAAATCAATAAAAAGGAATTCTATATAAAAAAGTTTATCAAATAATATTTGATGGTATCCTTTGTCATATTTTTTTATATATACTAAAAAAGGAACAATTTATACACAACGTTTTTTCCATGGTAACATCTAATAAATGAAACGCGTTTCATTTCTAAAAAGGTTACAGTACATATAACTCTTTATAGATTGAATGTAATACAAAATAAATTGCTTTTTTTATTGACTTTTTATGAACTGATGGTACCGAATATCAAATTGGTTTATTAAAAAAAAAAAAAAAAAAAAAATACCGTAAAATGATTATATGCTAAATAATAATTCGTTTAATAATCTATAGGTAATTAAAAATAATAAATTAATGTCCGTTCGTTCCGATTCTATTATCTACTTTTTAAATTTTATTATTATTATTATTATTGTTGCTGTTATTATTATTATTTTTAAGCTGACGATAATAAAATTTGAGCAGAAAACGTAGCAGGAACACCATTATCAAGAATGTAGAGATAACTTGGACCAGGAGGAATTATTGTTGGATTTGGTGGCATCTCAATATTCAATGTGACATCATTTGGATTATTAGGATCATATTCCGCAGATATTACTTTGCACATAGCATATCTTTGAGAAAAGCTCTGTGAATGTGTAATAAATCCGGAATGAATTATTGCCGCAGTTAGGAATGATTTTTCTTGTCCTTTTGTAACTTTGACTTCGAGCGCCTGTTTATATGTCGCTGGAAATCTTGTATCTTCTAGTTGTTTTGTTGTTCCTGCAACGCTCGTGATTACTGGACGTACCAATCCTGTCTGCAAGTATGGTGGTGTGAACATTTCAACGCGATATCTATATATGAAAAGAAGAGTAAATTAGTAAAATTATAAAAAATTAAAACTAATTAAAAGAAAAAAAAAAAATACTTACTCGGTAGGATACTTAGAATTAAGTTCTACGGCTCCTTGTGGATTGCTACCTGATACGAAAACTCTTCCGTCTGATGTCAAAGTCGCAACAGAGTGATACAATCTTGCAATAGTTGATGGGGCAAGGTTAGTCGTCCATCCTTTGGTTTCAGGATCGTAAATAAATGGTGTAAAAGCTGGATTATCAGATACATAAAGTGGGTTGGTCTTTGGACCTTGATGATATCCAGCGAAACCGACTTGGGCACCGTTTAAATATAAGACTTTTCCTGTTGGTAAGATAACAGAGTCTGGCATAACACGTCCAGTACCACCGAAATTATCCATTTCCCATTGAGGATTAGTTTCAGTTGGATCAATTCTACCACATGATGCCAAGGCAGGATTTTTAATTTCCATTGCCGTATTACCACCGCAAATCATAACAACCGGTTTATAATTTTGAGATGGTCTAAGAGGTAATAAAAGTGAATTACCAGTTAATGGATATGATCTAATACCGCCAGTTAAATCTGGTACTTTTGAAACGACGGTAGCAGTATCCAAATCGTAAACAATGCCTTTAGTATTTGCAAACACGAACGCTAATTGTTTATTCTCAAAATTTGGAAGAACATGTAAAAATGGATAAAGATTATATGGCATTGTTTCTACCAAAAAGGGAAAATCCACAGGTTGTGGTCGTGGAGCTCCTCCAACAGTCCAAATTTCATAAGTTGGGTTATTAATAGCAGCATTGTTTTTTCCCGTCCCTTTCGCAGAACCTCCCAATATAAGAACATTACCACTTGGAAGTGAAGCCATGGCTGGATACCATCTAGCTGTGGACAAACCATCCGGTATTTCAGACCAGTCTGGATTAGGATCTGATGGTGTTATAAATCTTACGGACTGAAACCCTACATTATATCCAAGACCTGCTTCTGCACCGCCAGCGTGTATGAGAGTTCCATTTGCAAAAAATGAACCCGCTGAACAAAATGTGTCCGTAGCAAGGTTGAGAGCTCTGACTTCATTTGTTTCAATGTTATATACACCACTAATAGCAGGGTTTCCATTCGCTTGCTTAATCTTATTTACTTCAAGTTTATCAATCATGTATATTTCTTTATTGTTAGCACGAAATATGTGCATAGTAGCAATCTTTGAGTCTCCGACTATATCCCATTTGCCCATTAATGGTGGTTGTTTGGCTTGTCTAGGATGAAGGGGTGAGGCTGACACAAGGCTAATGCCTAAAGTCAAAATTGATAAAAAATTTATTACTCTCATTTTAATGAGGGTTTAATATAATAATGAATGAAAGTAATAAAAAGAGAAAAAAAAAGGAATGTGAAATTTTTTTCAGAAAAAGTTTTTTTTTTGGCAAACGCATTACTCATATTTATACCTTCAGACAATTTAGATTATAAATAAATACATACAGTACTTTATAGATTAATTAGGACCATACACATACGGATGAAGCGTATAAAAAGTTTATTTTGTTTCAATGCAGAAATTAATATTCCACCAAACCAAAAAAGGAATATGTATGATTTTACGAAGATTTACCGGAATAAATTCCGGTTTGGAAAGAAATTGAGTTTTAACTCCGAAAATAAATCTTTATGCAAATAAATCATTTGTTTTTATGAGCTAAAAAAAAAAAAAAAAAAATTTTGATTTATATCGCATGATATTTTTCTATCAAATGAAGGAAGTGAAGTTATTTTTAGATAAGTTTACTCCTCCAACCTGTTTATTACCCAGTTGAATCAAAAAATTCCTTTTTTTGAAAATAATAATAAAAATCATATCATAATCGGAAAATTCACTTCCATGCAAGATACATACCAATTAGGTTTAATTACTAAAAGAAATTTTCTCGTGAAAAAAAAGATCGAGAAAAAAAATAATAATAGTATTATAAATTTATAATAAGTAAATATACATAAATGAGAACTTGTGCCTCACGGTTTCAATTTAATTTGGGATGTTGCACGGGGAAAAAAAAATGAAACAAAATATGTATGATTGATTGTATGTTGCCCTTTGTTAATATATTTGTAAACAATAAAAAAACTATAATATTTATAGCAAAAAAATTTTAATATTTTTAGTTTTATCAGAACTAAGATATATACAAGTTGCCTGATTTGGTAATTTTGAATATTTTTTTTCTTTCATCTTTTTTATGTAGTCATACAGTATATATTAAAAAGTCAAAATTTAATTAAATCTTGTTTTAACTTTTATTCGTCAATAATTTTAATATTGAATAACTTTATTATTATTACAGTTTAAGATTCTAAACAAAGAATATTAAGATTCTAAACAAAGATTTAATTATATTTACAAAGAAAAAAAATTTATGTATTATATAACGTATTTATAGACTAAAATTTTCTATTTTAATCTCAAAAAATTTTTTTTTTGCGAAATCTTTCACTTTCAAAATCTTCGCGTTAATCCGTCAAATCAGTGAATGACTTTTCAATCCACATCAATACATCTTTTTATAATTATATGTATCGGTTCGAAAATATTTCGGTAATTTTAGAATTATTGCTGATTCGTATAAAAGTATATTGTTCGAAAGTCTCTTAATTAATATTGTTTAGCATTCGTATTTTAAAAGCTGAATCTTCATGGAGGAAATTTAGAATTATTTTTGATAGGTGGAATCCAAAAGTACCGTATTTTGCCCAAGATCTTCATAATTCTGAATAGGGGTGCTTCTTAGTTTAAGGAGTTATGCACTTGCACGTGATATCGTTAACGACGTTAATATCGTACACCCACTGTACATTTCTTCTGAAATAAACATTTGTAATGTTACCCAAAGTTATCATAAGTCGTCATAATTCTGGTCAGAGTGTAGGATAGCTTAATATGTGATATCATGAAGTTTAACAGAAGCTTATATAAATAGGTAATTTGTTCTTACGGTTTTTTCGGTTTGAACTTTTTTTCTTTTTTTTTCTAAAAAAAAAATTGATCATTATGGAAGCAGATTTGAGATGTAATGTTGTTCAATGTCGAAAAATTCTAAATACTGAGAGTCGCGCGTGTGTGACAACGTGTTCGCGTATAGTATTAATTTTTTTAGAGCGTTATAGTTAAAACTTATAATTGATTTTTATTTTATTTTATTTTATTTTATTTATTTATTTATTTATTTTTTTTATAGACATTTTTTGTGGTAAATGTCAAATATAATAATCTTTCTTTCTCGGATTGATCCTTACTAAAATTCGGAAATTTTTTTAGTCGACTGTGCCAATAATTCCTTTTCTTCAGCTTTGGTTTGTCCGGCATGTGAAACAAGTTTAACGGAAAAGTTAGAGTTATTTATTACATTTTAATGTTATAATTATAGAGTTAATTGAATAAAATTTTTTATAATTAGTGACGATATTGTATTCACTGATTTGAATCCAAGTGAAGATTATAAATCTGTATAATACGATAAATTTTATGCGTAATTAATTTTCATATTTACAAGAAATTCTCTTGAATAATATTCTTAAAGTCTGTCCTTTCAGGTCTTCGGCCAGATCTTGTAGTAGAAATTTGTTCAAGAGCGTTATCATTTTGGACATATCAAACAACTCAGGAAGCTTGTTTTCAAGAAATGTTGTACAAGAATTTAGAAGAAAAGTACACTCAATTAGAAAAGCAAGTACAAGGAGTTATGAGAGATGCCCAATCCGAAATTACTTGTAAGAATATAATATATTAATGTTAGATAATTAGAGATTACAATGATATACTTCTGATTCGTTTATTTCAATTTTAATAATAAGCTTTGAGAGCCAAACTTCAAGGTAAATAGTACATGACATGTATTTACGTTGAAATCTAGAAATTTTTAATCTTTTAATTTATTTTAGCATTACAGAAAGATATGGAACTCGAAAAACGAAAAACGCATGATTTAGCTGAACAGTTACAAGAAAAGAGCAGGCAATTTTCGAAGTTACAGGTCTTTTGCGATTAATTATTTATAATTTGAAAAATACTACACCATATTAATTGTAAAAAATACTTAGGAATCAAAAAAAGTGATCTACTATTAAAAAATTATCATTATTTTCCTTATAGATAATGTATGATAAATTAAAACGTAGAACATTGGTTCCAGCAATGCAACAAACTGTCCAAAATAACACTACTTCTAATGTCGGAGCTTGCAATCCAATCAGTGGTGGTATGAGTGCGAGACAGGATGGAGTTTCTAATGTGAGTTATTTCATTATTGATATAAAAGCACTTAAGATGAAAAAAAAATACTTAATACTTATTTGTAAAATCAAGCAATCTGGAATGGCACGATTATATAATGAAAATATTATGACTAATAATCGTGCACCCGCAAATCAACAACAGTGGAATACTACAAATAATCAAGGTAAAAAAGCATCAAAATATTTTCAATGGCAATAATTTTGTTTTCATTCACTAAATAATTTATAGAAAATGATTATTATGATCCTTATACGCTTCATCGAGCTCAACCCTCTTCAACACAAGATTATCACTCCGTACGTGAACAAACACTTGCGATTGGAATGAACAATAATTATAATACAAGATTAGGAGGTGTTGGAAGAAGGATGATGGATGGGAATGAAATGAATGCTTTCCAATCTAAAGGTATTAACAAACAAATTAATTCAGTCATATCGAATATCTATGACAAGTTTCTGATAATACAATCGTTATTGCATGTTAAAGGACCTTTTACGCAAACACGAACTCCTTTTGCAATGGCATCCAATCAAGGTGTCAGAACGAGAGGCATCGGATGAATTATTCATTTGTTAAAATTGTCTCTCTTTAAAACATTAATGAATTAGCTTGAAATAATAAACCAGATCAGTGATATTGTCATTAAATCATGGGTTTAATTTGTTCAAAAATTTATAGTGCATTAAAAATTCTATCCCAAATTATCAAAAAAAAAAAAAAAAAACTGTTCAAGACGTCGTACCCCAAAGGGGATTGACACTGCCTTAACACTATATGTGTTGATGAGGGGATAGACCCCAATTCCGTCCTTATCGAGGGGATTGCCAACTATCTCTCCTTTCTTATCAACACGTAATTATAATTGCTAGTAAGTTTATATAATCCTATTATTTTGATTTTCAAAAAATTATGGGATTGATAAATAATCATAGATGATGGCCGTTTAAAATCAAAATCGCAAGGATACAATCAATATAAATTCAATGTCTAATTTGTATTCACAACTACCGCGTTACATACAAAACTCTCAAGTAGCAAAAAATGAAGTAAATTCATTTCTTTTAATCTTGGAAATACATTTATGGAAATATATTTAAAGAAATATTTACAAATGGAATAAAAAAAAATTATTAGAGACCGCCTCCAGTTTCTGAAACCACAAGAAAATTTGTCCCAAATTTTGTTATGGGATCTATAGAGTCTACTTCTAAGGATCCTGCAAAGATTTATACGGCGAAAGTAAAGGATAAAGTAATGCTTCTTGATAATCCTTTAAAGAGTTCCGAGGAGAAGAAAAAAAGAACAATATTAAAAAAGAAAGTTAAGACGATGAGTGCGAAAGAGAAGAGACAAACGAGAATTTATGAAATTCCAAAGGAATGTCATAAGTAAGTTGCAAATTCGTTATATTCGCTTAAAAATTATTCATATTTATTAATTAAATTTTTTTAGATACGAGCTTTTTGTTCCTTTACATGAGCTTTGGCTTCAGTATATCGAAGAGCTTTATGGAAAATCAAGTCCAAATATTTTTGGCCAGAAATTATTGAAAGCTGATTTCCACGGAGCAATTCTCACGGGTAATAATATTAATATTATGTTTAGTTTGAAGTCCCGAATAATTTAACACTAATTTCTCTTATTAAAATGTTAGTTTCTAAATCAAAATGTGCATCTTACATTGGAGTTACAGGAATTGCTATTCAAGAAACAGAGAACATGTTCAAGTTGATTACAAGAGATAATAATATGAAATGTATTCCAAAAGGGCATAGCATTTTTACATTTCGGCTTCGTGATCATATGTTCACTTTGTATGGTGACCAATTCCGATATAGGTCTGCAATTAGAGCAACAAAAAAATTCAAGAATAAACCGTCGATAGACTTATGAAAAGGTAATAATTATTTTTAATAAAATAAAAATTCTCCATTATTTTGATGTTTTATCCATTTCCAATACAGGAGCTAACACATTATTTTTATTAGTTTCTACTATTCTACCATTTAAAACCATTTCTTCAAGAATCACATGTACCTTTTCAATATTAAACATAATATCCAGTTCACACTATAATTAACAATATATATAACATGAGAATATTGTAAAATTATGAAACTAATAAATAAAATAAATGCAACATACCACATTATCAAAATATGCATTTAATATTTCTTTTTGTAATAAATAAATAAATAAATAGATAGATAAATAGATAATAGATCAAACAAAATGACTTTTTTTTTAGCTTACCCACATATGCATGAACGAGTTCAAGGATGGCAAGATGGTTCTCTTCCTCATCAAAACCAATTACAAAAAACAATGAAGCATATCGCCTAAAGGCTGTTACATATAACAAGTATAGTGTTAAAACGAGATCCCAACAATATCAAAGATAAATAATTTACTAACCTAATTTATACTCCCTAAATTCAAATATAGAACACTTTGATTAGACAAAGATTAGATCGAGTTAACTATTAGAATAACAAGAATTTTGCAAGCAATACAAGATTTAAAGTTAATAATTCACACCTGAGAATCACCTCTCTTTAGACATTTTCGTGAAATATCTGCTTCCATAAGAACTCTCTCCTCCGGCTGTAACTGTACATTATAATATCTAGAAAAACGAGTTTGTCCTTGTTTATTAATAAAAAGGAAAAATCTCAACATCTTTCCAAATTAACTGTCAATATAAACTGAATCAAGTTAAATTTTTTATATTGTGGCTTATGCATTATTGCATATGATTGGCTCGTGATAATTTCCTCACCATTTCTAATTTGGGAAACATCAAGTTCAAACAAAAAAGTTCTCATTACTACAACTCTCATTACCCGCATCCAAACTTATCTATCTCCCACGTTATGTTAATTAATCAACCTTCAAAGGCAGTTTGTTAGTGGGTAGTTATACATTCTATTCATTTATTAGATGATGTACACATAATTCTCTTTGACGAATTGGGACATCAAGAGCATGAGATACTAACGATTATATGCATAATACTGAATCTACGGAAACGAATTTTTAATTAAAGCAGATTAGTTACCCGATAAAGTTTTATTGTAAAATACATTCATTTAGACTTATATGTAAAACCTCAAATGCCTGGAAAAAATCAGTAATTGGTGATAATACTGTGCGGAACAAAGAGAATTTTTACAACAGCTAAACTTTACAAGTATCCCTGACGTACCTTTATGACTATGCAGATACTGCAGTCTGCAGAGATTAAATATTCAAATGTGATAAAAATAAAAATACGAAAAATATGACTTTATAACATCGAAAACAAATTAATAAAAGTTACCAAATATATACAATTATGAATTATGATTTATGGCTCAATTGTAGTTTTTCTTTATCTCTCAAATGAGTATAAAGATTTTATTATAAAATAGAAATACATATTAAAAGATACAATAAAAAATGATTTCGAGTCTTTAAATAATTAAATATCCCATTATTTCTAATTAAATTCAGGTTATCTATTAAAAAATAGGTATATAATTATTAATTCTTTCTTTTTGTCCTTGGCCAATACATTCGGCAATCCATACAATGTTTCTGATTTCCTGTTCTTTAAGCTTCAAAAATGCATAAAAGATTGCATAATGAAAATGTTGTTGGAAAGTAAGCTTGTTCAAGTGAACCTCGTGCTCAAAGAATCTATCATCAAGAGTCTTTGCTTCGCTTGTAGCGGTACCACCAAAAGATGTCAGACTATTATCAAAAAAGGGACGGTATTCCTAAAAAATTCGTAAAATATATTAACATAAGAATATCGAAAAATATAATACCCAATATCATTATTACCTACCACCCAAACCTCAACGACATTCTTAACATGTTCAATTTCGTCCGCCCTCGCAAGCTTGGCATGTCCGTCAGGATACAATTTTCCTAAAGTGGGAAATAATTTGGCTCGATCATCTCTTGATAATTCTGTGCCAAAAGAATTGATCGTAATATTAATAGCACGACGGTCAGCTTCAAACTGTTAAACAAATCACATCAAAGTTAAATATATAATTATAGAAAAAGTGTTAAACATAATTAATATAGTTAAAATTACCTCTAAAATTTCACTCATCATCTCTCCCGTTGCACCACCAATTCTTTTGCAGTATCTATAAAAATCTTCAATATACGCCTTGTAAAGCGTATTACGAATAATTTCAATATTTAATTCATCAAGATCATTAGCAGTGACGCAATTTTTAAAATATGGTGCTAGAGGTGTTTCCACTAATACAGTATCATACAATTCTGCGACATTGGTTGCAACACATAATGCTGGCATAGAATCAAATACTCCAAGTGGATGACATCGTTCAAGCAGTTCATGAGTATCACGTTCGTGTAAAGTGCCTGTTATAAGAAGTATTACATTATCAATCATATAGGCATAACTAAAAAAGAAAAAAATAAAATAAAATCGATTAGATTACCAAAAAAAAAAGAATCACGAGTTGCTATATGATGAAATATAACGTAACCTACGTTAAATAATCAAGAAATCTGGACAGCGGCTCCACGGCGTTAGCACGAACATACTTAAATTCGTCAACCAATTTTTGTGTCGCTTTTTCATGTATAGTTGCAGTGGAGATTGGAGAAGGTTCGTTAGCTAAAAAGTTGCCGTAATCCGTAGCGCTTAACTGAAGTTTTAGATCTATAATATTTTTGTCAATATTAATGTTTAAGTTAATAACGCTTTAGGAGTATAATACTCTTCAAATACTGACCATCAAGGGTTTCGCATTGCGTTAAGTTAAGATAATGAGTGGAATTAAGTACAGCACTCTTATAACCTCTCACAATACCCTCTAAATAACCGTCGTTTATGTTAAAGAATAAAGCTTCCATCTTTCAGATCTAAAATAAAATTTTTTTTTTTTTTCTTTTTTTTGCTTTCTGCTCAAATTTTTGATTAGATTGTGATGTTTATGCCACAACAATTGTGCATCGTTGCAGAGATATAAATTAAATTTCGCCTTCTAATAGTCGTACAGTTACACGCAAAGTGCCATGCCCCGGTTAATAAATCACGTGTTAACTGCGATGACGCGAACTATATTACTATATTCGAAACGCGAATTTACTACATTCAAACATACATCGCTCAAAAAAAATTGTTAATTACTTTTATTTTTCTTATTTTTTTTTCTTATGCGTCCTCTATACAACCAAACAAAAAAGTATTATAAGTGAATGAAAGACATAGTTCTTAAAGGTTAGTTCTTAACGATCATACTTTCTCCTAATTCGACGAACAAATTTAGATTATTTAAAATGATTCTTTTGCTTTTGTTTTGTATTGTTTTTAGATAAAATAAAATATCGATCATAAAGGAAACGAAAGTTTTCGATATGCTTATAAACACGGATTATTACTTATTGACTTACAAAGTTGTATATTTTCATAGATTAGTCTCGAATAAAGAATTCAAGTGCAATCAATACACCATCTTCTGTTCCACAGATCAGCCATTCTCGTGTCATTTTTAAGCATGTTACTCCGCTATCTATATGTGCAAGAGTAACGGCAGGAAATGGAATATTAAAAGAACTTCTCGTTCTTGGCACTACTAAAGGGCGTGAATCGCTTAATTGATAATATTTTATACATCCGTCAGAAGAGACGGATGCAAGACGCGATTCGTTACATTGAAGGTCCCAGACGATATCGGTATGTTCTTTGGTGGAATGTAATAGTTGACCCGTAGTTAGATCCCACATACGGATCGTAGAATCAGCAGATGCGGAAAAAATAAAAGTAGATCTATGAAATATATCTGTATCGCTTAATTCCATATTGTTACTGTAGTCATTTCGAGTATGCATATTATGGTCTTCGGGTGGACTTGGTGGAGGGGTAACGGTGTTTGATGGAGAAGAAGGAATTTGCGAATTATCTAAACGATTGTGATGGTTTCTTTGACGATGATATTGAATAGATTCGCTATTGACATTTGTAGACTGAATTAACGAATCTGGATCGTCCAAATCCATAAGTTCAACTTCTTGGATAATATTTGTGCAAGGTGAAGACGATCTCGAGGCAAGAAAACCTAAAGTATCAATGTGGATTGAATGCGGTGAATCATGAAGCCGATCTTGTTCGAGCTGCTGCACGATATCTTTATACCAAGCAAGGCAAGTAACTGCTCTAGTATGTCCCTCTAATCTCTGGAAAATTTGAGGTTTTATGGATGAAGGTGATGAGGGTGATTGAAAACTTGACACTTGTTCTTCAGAAGGATTTAAATCCCATATCAAAATGGAATTGTCATTCGATCCGGAAATTAACCAATATTGTTCTTGTTCCTGGTTTATAGTCAAAGAGGAAACTCGAGGTATTAGCATCAATGTTCCCACTGTACCATCATGACCATACAATCTTTGCAAGCAATCGCCGGTATGTATATTCCAAATTCTAATGGTTTTGTCTACAGAACCTGAAAAGAGAACAGATTCGTTGGGATCCATTGTCAACGAAATAATACCAGCTAAATGACCATTTAGTCTATGTTTAATCGAATGATCATTGGTAATGTCATATACGATGATACTTTTGTCCCAACTGCCTGAAGCAAGAATGGATTTCCCCAAAACCAGACACTGAACACCTTCGGAATGATCTTTTAATGATTTACGACAGCTCTGATTGAACAAATCCCAAATTTTTACAGTCTTATCGAAAGAACCTGTATAAATTATGTCTCCATGTTCGGATCCTGCGATACATGTGATACCTTCAGAGTGAGCACGAATGAGATGTTGAGAAAAGTTTTGCCTCTCCCAGTTTTTCTGGACAATTACATGATGCTTATATAATTGAAAAAAATAGTCTTCGGCATTATTATTGTAATTAAAGGATTTCGAAATATGAGTGATGGGGAAACCGGCGAGAATACATTGACGTTTCCAAAGAGCGTTATCCGTCGCTCGATCCTTCAAAGTTTTAGAAACTAAAAGTTTTAAGATAAATTAATATAAATATGTTATTATTTACTAAGTATGATCGTCGTTTTTATTAATGCAATATAAAACAACAAACAAATAAATAAACGCCATTTTGCCTCGTGCAACGAAATAAGAATTAATATTAAAAAGAACCCATTTTATAATAATATACCTTCTCGAATTTTACACAAGTTTTCGGCATCTAGGAATTCAAGTAGGTGAGAAGCGAGAGGAATTGGCAGCAAGGAAATTATATCTTTGGTGAGATGTTGCTGCAAGTAAATTGATAATTGTTTTCTTTCGGTTAAGGATAGTTTATCAACTAATGACTGGACACGAAATAGCCCATTTTCAACAACTTCTTTTGACATTCCTATATGCAGCAGCAAAATTGGCGAGAGAGAAAGAAGACACTCATTAAGTACAGTACATTAATGTATTTATATGAATAGGGAAAAAACAAGTATTCATGGATTAAATTTGTTGATTGAGATGTGATAATTGTTTTAATTGACATATAAAAAAAACTTTAAAAATTAAGGTTTTTAAAGTTAACCATTTTCTCATGTGACATGGTACAAATATTGACATGTGTCGCGATGCACGTATTGTTGATTTGACAGTTTTTTTTTTATTTGTTTGCATAGATATGCAGTTATCATTTTCCCAAGTGTATGCACGATAAAGCATGACGGAATTTCTAAAACGACACGATGTTACTTGGCACTGAAAATATGTTATAAATGTCAAACTTAATTTACGTATTTGGAATTGTGGCATAAATGTGAGAGAATTTAAATCATTAATCTAAGATATTTATGGAAAAAACAAACCAATAGTAAAAACGGGTTTCGTACAATGCTGTATTACATATATATAATTTTTTTTTACTAGTTAAAATTTATAATTTTTTTTATTTTAATATTTCAATAGAATTCATTTATTATAAAATATAGTATTATATAATATTTAAGAATAAATGTTTATTTTTTTATTATTTGGCAAAACTTTTTTTTTCAGTTTTTTTAGTTAATTAAAAATACTCAAAATAATATAAAAAGTAAATGTTAAATAATCAGCAATATTATTTTTTTATATATAAATTGATTTAGTATATAGTAAAAAAAGAAACTTAAAATCATTTAAATTATAAAGTTTACTTAAAAATACATTATATTAAATTCTTAAACTATCAAGATTAATATAAAAAAAGCAAATTAAAAAAATTATAAAGATAATGGAAAATAAATTATCTATTATTTTATATCAATAAAAGAACTAGTTTGCAAATTTCAAATAAAAAATTTCATATAATATAATAAAAATATTTTTTTTAACTTGCAAAAAAATATTAATATGTTATTATTTTTTCTTATTTCCATATTTTTTAAATATAAAGATTAATGCTAAAAAAAATAATATAGTAATACTTATTTTTTATCATTAATAACAAAATAATTTTTTTTTATTTTAGTTATATTCAAATTGTAGTAGAATATATAATTTAAATATTCATTATAAAAACTATTAATTAATTATTCTGATATATTGAGAACTTTGAATATTTTCAAAACAATATACTTTTAAAATAAATTTGACTTAGTGCCTTTATTTTTATTTAATTATATTTAAAGAGTTACATTTAACTAAAAATAAAACTAAATACTAAGAAGATATTAAAGATTAATATCCAAAATTGTATTTTAATAATCATATGAAAATTAAGATAATAGTAAAAAAGTTAGACATTATACTTCTAATATATTAACCTATTTTTTTAATAATTTAAAAATAGTTTTTTATATATATACAGTATATAGTTCAATTTTGAAATTTTTTTTTTTATTTTATAACTTTTATTAATCATTAAATTAGATTACTAGATGTTAAGATATATGTAAAAAATAATTTTTAAATTTTAGTAAAAAGGTAATTTTAATTAAAAACCTATATATTATATATTTTTTATAATATAAGACTAATTTTAACTCAGAGTGATTTAATTGAGGTAATTTAACCTGGTAATTTTATATAAAAATTTATTAATTATAAAATCACCTGGTTATATATAACATTTTATATATCAATATATTTTCTTAACTTTATTTATTTATTTTATTTCATACTAATTAACCATTTTTTTCTTTTTTTTTGTAAGTTCTTTGACATCTTAATAAACAGTAAGTTTCAAGTTTTTCAAAATTTCAGATATCTATTTTCTTTACAGCAACTAACCAGTCCTTTTTCTTTCTTTTTTGGTCAGGTTTCTTCTTGGATTTCTTTTTTGGTCTTTTGGATTTCTTTTCAGGTTTATGCTTGTATTTCTTTTGGTTTTTTGTAATATTATTCGACCTTTTTATTTTCATTTCGATATTCTTTTATTTTCTATTTTCTTATTTTTAGTTCTTAATCATTTTCCTTCATCCTTTATTTTTTCTTTTTATTTTATTTCTTTTTTTTAACATTATAAATGTATAATAACTTTAGCTTTAGTTTAATTTATAAATAAAATTTATTAGTTATTTTTTGGGTATTGCTAAATATTACCAGTGGTGATCATCACCACATAAAATATTTTTTAAATTTTCAAAAATTTTTGACTGAGATATTATTCTAATTATAATATAAACATTATTATTATATATAAATTTATGGATAGAACAAGTTTGCCTTAGATTATAAAGGCTGTTGTTTAGATAGTTTTTGAGAAAAATGAGAAAGTTTGATTTTATAAGCAAAATACAATTTTTTGTTTTAAAAAAGATTTTTTTTAGTTAAATTTTCAAAATTTTAGTGAATTAATTCATAATGATGTAACCCTGATTGCTCCTGAATAATAAAAATGTATTTTGCGAATAATTTTTGATCTACCAGTCCGATTTTGATGATCTTTTTTTATTTTGATCAGGGCAATGAGACCTATCGATTAAAAAAAGATCATTGAAATTGGATTACTAAATCTTGAGATAATAATTTTTGGAGATTAAATCAAGTCCGAATCGAGTCTGAATTGAATCAAATTTCAGAGAAGAAATTTGATTCATGTGGAACACTATATTTTACACATTTATTATTTAAATTAAAATTTTTGAAAAAAAAATTATGATATATTTTTTAATTCTGGCCAAAATTATAATTTTCAGTCAGAATTAAATAGTGTGGTGATGATCACTATTGGTGATATTTAGAAATACCCATTTTTATATTTGCATAAAATAAAATTAGCTAATCAATTTAAAATATTAAAAATATTAAATTTATAAATTATTTTTTATGGAGAGTAATTTAACCTGGATTATATATATAACTCAAGGAATAAATTAGCTTTTTTTTTATAATATTTTTAATGGTATTTAAAATATATAAAAGGTAATAATATAAGTTAGAATCCCAGAAAATGCCTATATATGTAAGATACCAAGGTGCTTAGCCAACATAGAAAAATTTTATGATGTAAGAATTTTATAATGCTTAATTTTAAGAAAATTTTATACTATGTAAGATAATTAAATTGCATATTTTTGGTATTATTTTAAAATACTAAGAGTTTTTAATTGCTTATTTTTCATATTTATAGAACTTTTTAAAATATTATATATTGAATTTATAATTAATTTTTTATTTTATTTTCACTAACGGTGAGTGTTAATTTTGTACTACATTTCACAATTTTATATAAATACATAAACAAAAATTTTTTTTTGATGAAATTTCAGTTTTTTTTTTCAGTTTTATTAATTATCTTTTAATAGTATCTTTTTAATTTTATTAAACTCAATGTATTATTTTTAATATAAAATTATTATATTATACATGTTTATTTTGTTAAATAAAATTACTGTAAATATGTTTTACTTTAAAATATAATTTTACTACTCACCACTTTGGTTATATCAAATTATCTTTTATGCTTAAGTAAGGTTATTCAGCAAGTTAAATCTACTTGTATTTTAATTTTCATAAGGCCAAGTATGATATTTATATAGAAAAGCATATTTTTTAAACGGTAATAACTTTTAAATTTTTTACTTTTTTATTTACAACTTCAGAGCGTAATTATACCACTTCAGTCAAATGAAATCGACTTTCTAAATTAATTGAAAGTTGTTCAGCAAGGTCGAAACTACTTATATATTAATTTTCATAAGTGTGAGTATAATACTTATGGAGAAAAGTGAATTTTTCATAATAGTACTAACTTCTGAATTTTTCATTTCTCTATTTACAACTTTAGAGCGTAATTACACCCCTTTAGTCAAATGAAATCGACTTTCTAAATTAATTGAAAATTGTTCAGCAAGGTCGAAACTACCATCATATTAATTTCTATGGGTGTAAGTATAATACTTATAGAGAAATTTACATTTTTTTATAATAGTATTAATTTTGAATTTTTCTTTTACTGTTTATTAACTTTATTAATTGAACATTATTAATCTACTTGTATATTATGTTTAGTTTAACTTTACAATGTATTGATCATATAATATAAGTATTTTCTGGGGTTCTATAAGTTTATATAAAATAAATTAAAATAAGAGTATTGCTAATTTTAACTGAAAGGATAATTTTTTCTCCTTAAGAATTTAAAAAAAAATAAACTTTTTATGAAATATATAAAATAAATAGGGTTTAAATTTTGTGCGCACTTACGTATGTGCGCACTCCCATAGATATATTATATATAAAAGTCAAAAATGACATTCTAAACCCTTCATAGCTAATTAAGTAAAGTTGTAGAATGGGCAAAAATATGCATAGTAAATAAATTTCAAGGCTCTATAATATGTACGTAAGAATTGCGGTATGAATATTTAAAAAAATTAGGATTTTACTAAAGTCACATGATAATTGATGATTGACAAATTTACTATATAAAAATTACCAAAAATGGAGGGGTGCGCACAAATTTTATTTCCAAATAAATATAATTGGATATTAATCGTATAAAAATTTGGTAATTCTTAGTTTTAAAAAAATTTTTATCATGAAAAATACAATTTAATTATAAAAATCAAAATTATGTAATTTTCTCAAAAACCATCTGAATAACTACCTTTTTTAACTTAATAAAACCTTTTTTTCTCATAAATTTACATTTTAAATTACTATGCAAGTCAATATTTTAATTAAAAATTGAAATAAAAGGAGAAGGGAGGAAAATTCCTTCTGGTTAAGTTTAGTAATTCTCTTAAAATAATATATAAATAATAAAAATAAAATTAACAGTAAATATTTTATTGCTTGTTTACTTTATAGAAATTTGAAGTTGTAATAAAAAATAAAGTTAAAATCTTTGCTAAAACCTTCTTGTTAGCTTTATTATCATCCTTACTTTTTGAGAATTTTTTAAATTTTTAGATTCTTCAAT